GGAGGGGGCATTGGAGGGGCGGGGACTTAAGCCCCCCAATAATATTTCATGATAGACAATGCATTGGAGTCCTTAATCTCAAACCCCAGATATCTCAGCATACACTTTAATTACATATCTCAAACTTGACTCAGTTTTCCTCACTCACTCACTGGATATCTGGAACATTTTCCTCTGGTGCCCACATAATGTTTGACATGTTTGTCAATTTTATATTATAATAATAATGAAATGGATGAATGACGAAAAGAACAAGACTAAATGAAGCCCTATTCTTAATTTTTCAGAGAAAAACAAGATGTACATGGTAACTAACTTGATAAATTGGTTTTGTTACTGCTTATCACTGACAAACAATGAATTATAATAATTTACTAAAGCCTGTTCATGTCTAAATCGAAAAATATATACTTATTACAATTATTATTTTCAGTTGTCGTTGATCCACTTCTGGGCAAAAAATTAAGACCTCATCAGAGAGAGGTAAATATCAGCATAAATGTATATTAGGTAAGCTGAAGATGGTATTGATAATAATTATTCAATTTGTTCATTTGTTTTTAATTGTAGGGTGTCAAGTTTTTGTATGACTGCGTGACAGGAACCAAGATAGAGGGCAGCTATGGATGCATCATGGCTGATGAAATGGTAGGTTGAGTGATTGATTGATTTACAATTAAAAAAAGGTTGCTTCTTCACTATAGTGATTTTCAAGGTCCTGTAAAAACCAATAATATAACAAAATTGATACATTGTAAAAATAATGCTGTCACGACAGTCAACATTCGTCTATGATCATTTCTCAGCTTTCATCTGTCACAGTTCTACCTTTAGTTAATTAATAAGTTTAAGTTTCGACTGACATTCGCAACTCATTCATTTGTCTATTACCAATATTCATTGCTATGTAATGTCGGCGTGAAACAAAATTCATGAAACAAAGGTTAACTGGCAACCAAATAGATTGTTAGAAGTGTACATCCATCCATGGGATCCTTACTGTAATGATTACAGTAATTTCAATCCCTGATGCAAGAATTGTCTTTGTAAAAGATAGCTTGTAGCAACAATAGATAGTCAGAGGTTAACTGTAATTGATAAAACATCTATTAATTTCTCATGACTCTCAATTTTATTTTATGTTAATAGGGGCTTGGTAAGACTTTGCAGTGTATTACCCTCATCTGGACTTTACTGGTAAGTGATGTACTAACTAAATAACAAGCATCATTTCCTAGCAGCAAGCCTGGGGGTACTCTTGCCCGTTTAGGGTAGGAATGAACTGCTGAGCCCTCCGAACCCTGACCCTGTTCCAGAGTAAAAATGGCTGAAATTGATACCGTTCCAGAGCAAGATCGCTGAAAACCCTGTTCCAGAGAGGAGAGAGCATGATTTCATATTACCCTGTTCCAGAGGGAGCGCACTTTTATATACCCTGTTCCAGAGTAGAATCGCTGAAAATCATACCCTGTTTGTCGGCACGTACCCGTACAGCGAATATAGGGGAGTACCCCCCCAGGGCAGCAAGCTGAAAGCATCTGTACAATGATCTAGATTTTAGTTATTAATTTTGTTTTTATAATTACTAATAATTAATATCAACTTTTTGTTGAATTCTTATTTTTATCAATGATTCAAGAATAATGTTATTAAAGAATCTTCTTATACTTTTTTAAACAGCGCCAAGGACCAAAAGGTAAGATATTTATACGTCCAAGACTTACCTGTTAACAAATATATTATTTCATTTGTGCTCAGGGATAAAAAAAAAATTGTACATTCAACCGAGAATATCTGGCATTGATCAGTGCAGTATGGACAGCCATCATGTCCGGCCATTGAGCAGCTAAATATTTTAGCCCTGGGCCCAGTTATATGAAGGGTGGAGAAGCTTATCCCACAGATAAAACCTAATCCATAAGTCATTGCTTTTACCCAATGACTCAATCCACTAGATAAGATAATTATCCATTGGATAGCCCTTAGTCCACCATAATGGAAACTACTGGGCCACCAGTAATGTATGTTACCCTTGTTAAATAAAGTCAATTGATTTTATTTATTTTTTACAACTGGGCCTTGATTTTTGTCTTTAGTTCTATAATTCTCAGTATTCTGTGAACTCAGGCATGTTCAACAGCTTGTTAAATTAATAGTTTTTACTGCTGTCAGACAAAAAATATAAATGGTACTTATTTTTGATTGCCGGCAGTGAAAAACCAAATTTCAGCATGCAGCTCACAGCAACCAAGTTTGTAGAGTATTGAGAATCGCAGTAATGATATATTTAGACTACATTCTAGTTTTGACAATTTATTGATTTACTGGTATACACATGTAGGTCAGCCCATTATAAGCAAAGCTGTCATTGTTGCTCCATCAAGTTTAGTTAAAGTAAGTAACAGTATTTGATTGCTAGACAAACTTCTTTATTAATGGTATAGATGATTTATAACATACATTTCATTGTGATTGACAGAACTGGTACAATGAGCTGAACAAGTGGCTGGGTAGTAGAATAAATGCTGTAGCTATTGATTCAGGAAGCAAAGATGGAATAGACAAACAACTAAGTACGATAGGTTCATTTATGCTCAGAACCTCTGGGCTGATCATGACTAACTCACAGATTGATACCTGATTTAACCTCTGGGATGATCTAAGTCAGGGCATGGCTAACTCACAGATTGAATCCTGAAACAACCTCTGGGCTGATTAAAGTCAGGGCATGGCTAACTCACAGATTCAACCCTAAAACAACTTCTGGGCTGATCAAAGTCAGGGCATGGCTAACTCACAGATTGATACCTGATTTAACCTCTGGGATGATCTAAGTCAGGGCATGGCTAACTCACAGATTGAACCCTGAAACAACCTCTGGGCTGATCAAAGTCAGGGCATGGCTAACTCACAGATTGATACCTGAAACAACCTCTGGGCTTATTAAAGCCAAAGCATGCAAACACACTGTTCAAACCCTGAACTTTGCAAGATGTTTTTCTCTATTTCCAGCTACGTACATGAGTCAACAAGGCAGTCGTACGCCCACCCCTGTCCTCATTATCTCGTATGAGACATTCCGTCTACATGCAGCAGAGCTACACAAGGGTAGTGTTGGACTGGTCATCTGTGATGAGGTACTGAACAATGCATCATAATTTTATAACTGTATCTAATAACTAGTTTAATTTTATGAATAGAGTACTGCAAGTACATGAAGAAAATAGTCAAGAGTAGAATTTTAACACTTTAGGTTTTGCATGTAATGTCACGATGTAAAGAAATTTGTTTGATCTAAAAAAGGAGTAGATATTTATAGTGGTCATACAGATAGTAAATAATAAATAAATAAAACTGCAAAGTTTCATGAAGATCATAGTCATGTAAACTATTGAAGATATGATCTTTTAAATAGAACATGAAGCTTTACAATATTTAAACCTTCAAATTTAATTGATAGCATTATTTATTACTAAAGAGTCGTAAGAAGCGGTCTACTCCCATGTAATGAATAAAAAGTCTAAAATACATCCATCTAATCAATCATAGGGTCACAGGCTGAAGAACCTTGAAAGTCAAACCTACCAAGCGTTGAACAAACTGAATACCACTAAACGGGTTCTTCTTTCAGGTATTTTAACTAGATTTCGTTTATAATTAATATTAAAATTACTATATTGATTAAGAATAATTTATTATTTCATAACAACTATATTTATCCTCAGGCTAGGGAGACTCTCAGCAGTACTGACCTTTATTATTTAATTCTGCAAAGAATGTGCATGATACATAAAAATACCATGCCTGATATGAGACTGTATTGGCACTTCTCATCTGCTCGCGATGGGATACAATATAGTTAGAGGAATTTTGAGCATTTCTTTGGAGAACTACTGTAAATAATGAACAGCTCATCAGTCTTCTAAGCATCTGATAGGGCTTTGCATTTTTACTCGTCAATTGTACGTATTTTGGCTCACCTAAAGGCTTGACAAAATACTCCATTACTCGTAAAAATACACAGCCGTATAAGATGCTTAGCCGACTGATAACCTCTGTGTAGCACAACAAAAAATGAAGATATGTGTTTTATATTTCAATATAATTTATGCTTTTACATTATTGTATTTTATAACTGTAAAAAAAAATATTATTAAAAGTACTTTTTCTACTGGAATAAATTTTATCAAAAAATTACTCACTGATATTGTCGTACTTATAAATATTATTCCTACTCTCCTTTTAATATCATTTTTCCAGGTACTCCAGTTCAAAACGACTTGCTGGAATATTTTAGCTTGGTACATTTTGTTAACGAAGGAATTTTAGGTATCTCATCAATCTTATCAATTTTCCTTTTTTCCACAGTCTCAATTTTTTAGAGTTAATAAAAAGTTAATATTCAAATATCCATTGATGTATTAGGCTCGGTATCAGAATTCAAAAGAAAATTTGAGATTCCAATCTTGAGAGGCAGAGATGCTGATGCTTCGGAGAAGGACCATAAAATAGGAACTGAAAAACTGAATGAGGTAATCTTATTTCCATTATTAATATTAAGTCTCTTATTTATAACCTTTATTTTATATATAAAGCATCAATTCCAAAAGTTCAACAAGGCTTTACAATTTTAATACATTCTCATTATGTAATTAAATACAATTATCATAACCTTCTGTAGATTGAATAAGAATGCTGATCTTTCATTTCTTGACTTTTTGCAGCTTATTCTGCTAGTAAACAAATGTATTATAAGAAGAACAGGTTTGTTTTAAATATGTCTCAATACTCTGGGTGTTTGCACGATGGCGTCATTGACCTCTACTACCAGACTCCCTTGCACACTTTCTTTTGTTCAGTTAATAGCTCCAATTGTCTTACTATTCCCATGAGGGAATACAAATTTGAATAAGAAAGAAAATTTGCGAAGCATCTTGGTAGTGGGAGACAAATGACGCCATCATGCAAAAGTATTCTTTTCCTTGCATAGTATTTACTGCATATTATGATTATATACTCAATAATCAATACTGTGTATTTACTGCATGTTATGATTATATACTCAATAATCAATACTGTGTATTTACTGCATATTATGATTATATATACTCAATAATCAATACTGTGTATTTACTGCATATTATGATTATATATACTCAATAATCAATACTGTGTATTTACTGCATATTATGATTAT